CTCGGCAGCCTGGAGCCTGTGCCCTGGCCGTGCCCTCCGCCCGGGAAGCCATTCCCACCTCCCGACCAGCAGCAACCCGAGCGCGCGCCTCGGAACTCACCCCACGGCGGCGGCTGTGCCTCGGCTTGCTGACGTTCTTGGTCACCTTGTGGCCCTTGTTGAGGCCCACGGCCATGGGGTAGCGCAGAGCCATGGCTGCAGACAAGGGTGGGGAGAGGGGGGAGAGGTAAGTCCCGGTTCGGCCACTGCTGCCCAGAGCGCAGCGTCCAGGCCCCCCCGCAGTCGATCGCTACACCCAGCCATTCCCCCAAGCCGCACCGGAGGCCCTGGGGTACGGATGGCGGCGGATCCCACCGGCGCCGAGATGAACTAACCTGCTGCTCCTCAATGGCTGCCGCGGCGGAAGGGCTGGCAGAGCGCGGAACTCTGGGATATCTATTCCTCATGGGTTGCGCGGGCCAGAGAGGCAGGGATGTTGCGAGCGCCCCCTGGCGGCTGGAGGATTTCCTGCGGTCTCGTGAGCATGCGCATTTACCCCAGCCGGCCCCAGCGAGGGGTCGGAGCTGGTGGGCGTGCCTATGGCAATGGTGCCTCCCTATTCCGGGGGGTGGAAAGTTCGAATCTCACCTCTGCTGGGTGAAATCCCATCTCAGCCGCTAGCTGGCGCCAGGGACTTCAACCTCCCAATACCTGAATTTCTCCATTTGTAGAATAAGGGCAATAATAGGGCTTATTCCAAACTGTTTGAACAAGATATAATGGTACCTGTCACAGAATAAAACTTCCATAAACGAAGGAATTTTATATGAGGCCAAGCTTTGAGTTAGGGCTAAGGAAGGCGATGTGGTATAGTGCCCGTTGGTGGCATTTGATGTGAATTGATTTTATTTTAGGTGATGCAGAGATGAGAGGCATGATAAGAACAAAAAATTTTTTTTCTGCTTTTTCTCTTTCAATCCTAATGTCAAGTGTGTAGTCCTTGATGCACGTTAGTATTATCCATGCACAAACCATGTATGTTGTGTGGCAAATAATGCCTTTGGTCCACCATCAGTACCCTTCCTACTGCCCGGACTTGCTGGGTGAGCCCCCTCTCTCCCAGCCTGTTTCTCCACCTGTGAGATGGGGTTGAGAGCTCTAGTGCACACACTCTTCCCTGCCTGCTGGAAGGACCAAGACATTTGAACAACAGATGTGCAAGGGAAGAAGGATTTTTATTATGAAAAGGGAGGCGGGTACAGAGCAAAACACATTCCTTCCCTTCTCCCCCTCTTTGGACCCTACCATTGGTTTTTTTTGTTTGTTTGTTTTGTTTTTAAATATATTTTTATT